TTTTTTTTATCTGGTTCGATATAACTATGCATTTGATGGGAGTAACGAAAATGATCAATTATTATTCTGTCTCGTGGTGTTTGGTGTGTTTTCTTGTCGACCTCAGTGGCAGGTCGAAGTGTTCGAGCAGTTCGAAAGAAAAAATTCACCATGACTAAGGCCTCCGGGCTTGGTGGTCGCTTGTTTTGAACATCCCTTTTGGGGTGGGCAAGTGGTCGAAGCCATGACTATGGCCTCTGGGTTGGGTGGTCGCTTGTTTTGAACATCCCTTTCGGGGTGGGTAAGTGGTCGAAAAATAAAATCCACCATGACTAAGGCCTCTGGGCTGGGTGGTCGCTTGTTTTGAATATCCCTTTCGGGGTGGACAAGTGGTGGAAGAAAAATCCACCATGACTAAGGCCTCCGGGCTGGGTGGTCGTTTGTTTTGAACATCCCTTTCGGGGTGGGCAAGTGGTCGAAAAAAAATCTACCATGAGTAAGGCCTCCGGGCGGGGTGGTCACATGTATCGACCACTTCTCCGAATGTCGGCATATGTTCAAGGGAGTAAAATCCACCACAACTAAGGCCGTGAGGCTGGGTGGTCGAATGTATCGACCACTCCTTCGAGGGTGGGCATGTGTTCGACGACAAAAGTCCACCATGACTAAGGTCGTGAGGCTGGGTGGTCGCATGTATCGAGCACTCCTTCGAGGGTGGGCATGTGTTCGACGACAAAAATACACCATGACTAAGGCCGTGAGGCTGGGTGGTCACATGTATCGACCACTCCTTCGAGGATGGGCATGTGTTCGACGACAAAAATCCACCATGACTAAGGCCGTGAGGCTAGGTGGTCGATTCTAGTGTTGGTCGTTGAAGACATGGAGCCTGAACAGATCGATTGTACTTAATTGATTTGGTGTATGGATTTATTTTTCGATCTCAGTGGTAGGTCGAATGGAGTTCACATGGAGCAATTCATGGAGACTATTAGAGACCTCGGTGGCAGGTCGATGATCTTTACTTGATTTTGGGTTTGTCGAATTTATTTTTCGACCGCAGTGGCCGGTCCAGGGAGTTCATTTGGTGTAATTCACGGAGCCTATCGGAGACCTCGGAGGTAGGACAATTGCTTTACTAGATTTGGTGTATGGTTTTGATTTTGTCAAAATTGTTTTTCGGCCTCAGTGGCAGGTCGAGATTCGATGGAGTTCATTTGGCGCAACTTATGGAGATTATTCGAGTACCTCGTTGGCAAGTCGATTATTCTTGCTTGGTTTGGATTTGTCGAATCTGTTTTTCGACCTCAATAGCGGGTCGAGATGGAGTTCATTTGAAGCGATTCGTGGAGATTATTCGACGACCTCAGTGGCAGGTCGAGGGTTTTATTTGGTTTTGCCGAATTTGGTTTTTCGACTTCAGTACATTCGGTTCTCGAGAGGATAAAGAGCAGGGTTGAATTTCAAATTTTGAACTGAGGGGCGATGATAGGACGAAGTGGTAGAAAAGGTTTATCTTTAAGCGAAAAGAGATCGAACATGGTGATCGAAAAACAGTAGACGTGAGTTCAAATTTTCAAATTCAAGACTTCGGGGAGAGATCAAAATCATGGGAGTTCAGGTAAGCATGTCAAGGAATATCACAGCAAGGTCAGCATTGCAAAATGAATAGCAAATGAATCCACTCTATGAATCAAGGTTCGACCTGAATGTGGCGTCAGGTCATTCGGTTTCCGGTGTTTGACCCTAGTGGTGGGTCACTCGATTTTCGACCTTAGTGGTCGTTTAGTCTTTGGTGTTCGACCCCAGTGGTGGGTCACTAGATAATCGACCTAGTGGCGGGTCACTCGATTTTCAACCACAGTGGTCATTCGGCTTTCGGTGTTCGACTACACTGGTGGGTCACTCGATTTTCGACCTCAATGGTAATTTGGTGTTCGAACTCAGAGGCAGATTATTCGGTTCTCGACCTCAGTGGTAGGTCATTTGATTTTCGACCTCAGTGGTAGGTCTTTCGGGGTTCGACCTCAGAGGCAGGTCTCTCGGTTTTCGACCTTAATGGTCATTCGATGTTCATTTGGGGTCCTGATGCTCATTCGGAGTTTTGGTGACTATTTGGTGATCGAGGATTTATTCAAATTATAACCTCAGGGGCAGGTTGACGGAAACAGCCTAAAAAGAAATTTCACTCTTGGATCGAGTCATGCTTACTCGACCAGAGTGGGGGGACTAGATGATATAGGATATTATACTAGACCGGTTTTAATGGATAAAAAGGAATATATTAGAGAAAAAAGAAATATAATATCTCTCATCAAAAGGCGCAGTCGTAAGTCCGACAATTGGTCTTTAGCCTTTCAAAATCAAAGACGGGGCCCGTCCATTTGGAAAAAAAAGGGATATATTGGAGAATAAAGGAATATGTTGGAAAATAAACATACACATGGGCTAGGACACGTGTCATGATTGCATTGGACAAGCCCAACATGGGCCATAAGGTACACTCTCCCTACATTGATTACTATACTCTTGGGATTTGGGGTTTTGGAGTGATTTTAACTTGAGCGTCGGAGGCCCGACGTTGGGACCCCTCCCGGCATTGGGTTCTTGCAGGTATGGAGGTCGTCCGAGTTGAAGGAGCCCGAGTGAAGTCTATTTCACGAACACTTGGAATACTTAGCTACAGCTATACCAGGAAAATTCCTACACACAGCAGTTCTAATATGCACAAGAGTATTATTGGAAAAAAAGATACTGACTTATGAAGATTAACTGCTCGCCCAGATGCATCACAGTATCTTTCCAGAATTTGAAGAATCTGATGGGCTTCAAAATCAGCTTTACAAAAAAGCAGAGCATCATCTGCAAAAAATAAATGAGAAATAGGGGGAGAATACCTACTAATTTGTATACCTGATAGAGCTTTGGCATTACAAGCTTTGGATATGAGATTAGACAAGGCCTCAGAAGCAATAATGAAAATATAAGGTGAAAGAGGACATCCTTGTCTAATTCCTCTAGATGGAAAAACTTGACCCGGTATTTGCCCCCCAAAATTAAATGAAAAAGAAGAAGTACTAATGCAGGAATTAACCCAATTAAAAAAGATATCACTGAAACCCATATATCTACAGATCTTAATAAAAAAAAAAAACTAATCAATCCTATCATAGGCTTTCTCCATGTCTAGTTTAAGAGCCATGAAGCAAGCCTTGCCTTTATGCCTAGTATTCAAATAATGAATACATTCATTTGCAATAATACAGTTATCCAATATCTGCCTTCCAGGCACAAAAGCTGCTTGTGATTGGGATATACAACAATGAAGGACTTCTTTGAGTCTATTAACCAAAATTTTAGCTATGAGTCTATAGGTAATAGTACATAAGCTAATAGGTCTATACTGGACAATGGTTTTAGGTTCTTTAATTTTTGGAATTAAGGTAATGACTGAATGATTAGTAGCCCTAGGAATGCAAGGTGAAGTGAAAAAATTAGAAATAGCTTAAAGCAGATCACATTTGATAACTTCCCAAGATGATTGAAAGAATAGGGGGGAGAAGCCATCGTTACCTGGATCTTTGTCAGGATCCATGGCCCACAGTGCTTGTTGACATCTTCTTCAGTCACTGGCTTGATGAGTTTTAGGTTCATTTCAGCAGTTATAGATCTAGGAATACCATGAAACACAACCTCATCACATACAAGAGACTCTGATTGACGTAAATTTGCAAAAAAGTCATCCACCTCCTTAAATTGCTTCGGTTTTGCTATTACATGGCACACCATTTCTGCAGATCAAGTGTTCCAGACTGTTTCTATGCCTCCTTTGCTTCACACAACCCTGAAAAAATCTCGTGTTTATGTCTCCTTCTCTCAACCATCTCACCCTCAATTTTTGCTTCCAATATAGCTCCTCCTCCATGTAGGCTTGATGCAATTTTTCTTTACACTCCTGCCAATCATCCCAGTCTCTCCACCCACCTTGTCTCCCTAGGCATTCTAATTTGGCATTGTAGACCTTGAAGCTTTCAGAATTGGACTTCTACCTAACAGACCACCCCAGCAACCTATTTCTAACAATCTTTAATTTCTTTTGGAACATGTACAAAGCTGGGCCTGTTGTCTCTACCATCCAAGCATTAGCCACACACTCCTGAAATCCATCTAACTTAGCCCACCTGTTATCAAACATAAATCTGTTCTTCAAAGCCTCCTCATTTCTATTCAAGTCAAAAAGCAAAAGGCTATGGTCTGAGGAAATCAAAGGAATGTTGACAACCCAGGCTTTAGGGAATTGGAGAAAGCACTCAGGAGAAATACAAACTCTGTCAAGGTTTCTCCTCCACATAGTCTAATCCCCTTCTGAGGTTAGACCATGTGAATTGAGATCTCACCATAGGGCATTCTATAACCCCCAGGGAATGCATAATTTTTCTAAACCCACCAAAACTGCTCTCCACTCTCACCAACCCACCTCTCTTCTCCTCATTACTAATAATATCATTGAAATCCACCCTACGAACCACAAGTCCCCCCACCTAAGTTGATGCCTATTAGGTAACTCCAATTGATATTGCCTCTCCATACTATTGACACTGGCATACACAAAATCCCCCCACATCTGATTAGAATAACCCTTCAAAATAAATTTAACTTCTAAGATAAAATTATTATTGACAATCTCTAACACTGACACATTATTAGGCCAACACAACAAAAGACTTCCTTTAGAACCCACAATATCCACACAAAACCATCTAGAATCAAAAGGTAAATTCTTAAAAACTGTATTAATAAAAGCTTTTTGCTTTTTTGTTTCTGATAGAAACCGAAAATCCAGGAGGTAGGACTTAATCATTGCCTTCAACTGGGAAATTGTATAGGGTCCTCCCAAACCTCTACAATTCCACATCATAGCTTTCATTTGAAAACTTGGGACCATTTATAGCTGGTTTCCTCCACCATTTTTCCACTCATTTTATCAAAATTTTTCACTTTCTTATGCACAGACTCAATACCATCCTCCCCAATCATGTTAATCTCATTCATTTTCCTTTTTTGAGAAGCAAAGTTGATTTGGTCACCATTATATCCCAAGTTAGCCCCATCATCAACATCCTGAGTCTTACCCTCAGGTTTCCTGCTCCTGGTAATTCTAGTAAATGTTCTGGGACTCTTAGAATTTCCAATATTGAGAGTTCCAGATTGACCATTACCTCCACTAGGTTACCAGAAACTTTGTCAGTCCCTTTGGAGGTATCAACCTCCATGGGAATCCCAAGATTAAGGCCCTCTTCAGAGAGATTTCTTTTCCTCAGAGGTTCCTGACATTCTAGCTCCACATAGATTAGTCCACTTCCTACTTGGACCCCATCCTCAACACCCCCATTTTTATTTTTTTTTCACACTCAGACTCCTTAACCTATTCTATGCCCCCCTCCTTACTAGACCCACTTGCTTCTAAACCTGGTTGCAGTAACTGGCTATTAACAGAAAAGGGAGTAGGATTACTAGGACTAGAAGACTTTCTCTCCCTCACCTCCCCATAACCACCCCCTACTGCCCTCAACCAGTCCCCATATTGCCCCGTTTTGATAACCTTCCTTTGAATATCCCCTTTTTCAGTCTCACACTGCCTCCCACTATGCCCTATAACACCACAATAAAAACAAAACCCCAGGAGATTCTCATATTTAAATTCTATCAAGTGCTATTCCTACCCTAGTTTAATAGAAGTACCCCTTGGTAGTGGTTCAGACACTCTAACTTCGGCCAGAATCTAAACAATTCTTCCATTATTTGAGCCTGCTCCTGGTGCCACCACATCAAGCACATTATCAAATAACTTGCCTACCTTCATACCTGTTTCCGCAGATAACCAGTGCAATGGTAGTTTATGGATTTGGATCCACAAATCTACTTTCATTTCTTCATCAATGAACTCAATTGCCCCTTTTTTCCACTCTTTGAGGAGCAAGTATTGTCCATCAAAGGTCCACGCCTTTCCATTCTGTACCTTCATTTTGTCCTACTCACATTGGAACAGGAATTGAAATAAGTTCGGCCCCAAAACCCTAACTGAGAAATGTTGAGTTGTTTTCCAAACGATAGCCATTGTTGCCCGCAACCCCCCAATACTCTCCCTTTTATCTCCTACTATCTTACCAATTAGACTCAGTGAGCACTACTGTATCCCGGGCTCAATATCGGCATCTGATAATTCAATCCCTGGTTTCTCCTTATCGGATAACTTAAACTTGCGAAATTTGTCGAGTACCTCCTACTCCATAACTGCTAGAAATGATACCCAAACTCAGTCACGCCTCATGAACAATCTAAGCAAGCACTGCAATCCTGAAACCTACACAACCACCACGAAATAATGAAAGAATAAGGAACCCACAAACCAAAAAGAACACCCCAAATAGAGAAAACGCACAACCAAAAGAGAGAACAAGGGGAAATGATGGGAAAAACCCTAGAAAGAGAATCGAAAGTAAGCAGAATGGACAGAACAAAAGATTCCACACATGATGGAAAAAAACCCTAGAAAGAGGGACGGGGCTTCCACAAGAGATGGAACTATATTCTTCGAATTCGATTCACAATATAATTTTAAAACCCATTTAGAACTGAGCTTGACTCTTGATCAATTGTTTCAACATATAGTTCATATAAAATTTTATATTACATATGTAATATCTTTTACCTTAAAAATGTGCATAAAATAGTAAAAATAAATTACTTATATGTATTTTTGTACGCAAAAGTTTTAATAATATTGTATTTTGTCATAAACATTTACCACATAAATATGTATATACATATATAAAGAGATAGAGTAGATTTAACAGTCTAGTTGAAGAGATAGAGTAGATCTAACAGTCGAATTAAAAGTAAATCGAACGGTCATTATTAATGCGACATTTAATTGGTATGATGTACGAGGCCAACGCAATTTACGGAGTGATGACGTCGATGGGACGTTGTGATTGATCAGCTATGACAAGAAGACAAAGATTCAAAATTTAAAATTTGATTGAAGACCATAGGGGAGGTCAAAATTGTGTGGCATAATTGAAGGAAATGCAAACAGACAGACCGACCAGGCCGAGTGAACCGGTTGGTAAAATAGAGTCATATGAAGGTCAAAGGTCGAGCGCTAGTGTAGAGCGAGGAGTCTTTAGGTCGAAGAAGACTTGAGTGGTTCAAAAGGGGCAACGATAGGTCGAGCTAGGCCCCTCGGATAGCCTATTGAAAACTCGACTTGAAGGCATGGTTTGTCGTGTGATCGACTAGAAGGGCGACACTTAAGCTTGGTACACATAACATTCTACCATGTCAGGATTCGAGTTGGTCGCACGATTAGGCAGTCTAATACGATAGACTAATGGATAATAAGAAATATTAGTAGGATAAAGACCACAAGTGGATAAGGTCACGTGGCCTAACAGAATTAGGCAATTCGGGCAGATCGAGTAGTACAAACGAGCAGTATGGGCAGCCCACTTGGGTAGTCTTGGACAACAAGGTATCATCTCCCTATATAAGGGAGTGAGGTAAGCCATTTGTCACACTACATTTTCTACACTCTTTACATACATACATACATTTTGCACTTCATCTTCTACAAGTGCTAATATAAGCATCAAAGGCTCTTCACCAGAAAATCCATCCGGTTGAGAGTTTTTACAGGTCTCAGGGATATTCTAAAGGTGAGGAGCTCAGGTCAGGTTGATTTCAGCTGGTCGAGGGTCTTTTGTGTACCACTATTAACATCATCTATCTTAATAGGACAACTTCTATCCCCATGTCCTATTCGACCACGATAAAACATAAAATTTGGAGGTTTTCATACCTAATTTCTGTTCTATCAACACTTTTATAATCCTCCTAATTGCACTGCTAGCTCCTGGGACAAACACATCAAGAACTTTACCCAACAACTTCCCAATTTTCGTTCCTTCTTCTGCGAATACACAGTGAAGGGGCAAAATGTGGATTTGAACCCAAAATTTGATTTTGTCTTTTTGTACCTAGAATTCAGTCTTGTTTGGGTCCCAATTCTCGAGCAACAAGTACTACCCATCGAACGTCCATGTTTTTCCCTTGAATATCTTATCCTTGTCCTCCTGGCATTGAAATAAGAATTGGAACATATTGGAACCTAGACTCCTCACCGAGAATGACTTCCTTGTAAACCATATTCCTCTAAGGGTGGTCATTAGTCCTCCAAAATTCACTTTCTTCTCCCCAAATATCTTTCCGATTAAGTTGAGTTGGCAATCTTTCAGCTCTATTGCAATATCATCATCGAAAAGTTTGACTCCTTTTTCCTCTCTATTCGATAGACAAATTTCTGAAGCTTATCTATAAGCTTCTGCTCCATGAGGACACACCATAACCCAGACACACTGTCAAACAAAGAAAAAAGAAAGGAAAGGAAACATATAGGGGAGGAAATGAAACAAGACAAACGCAGGCAAATTAGGGATGCACAATTACCACATAAAAAGATACAAACATTAACACAGTTAAGAAAGACAAAGAACAAAGAACCCTGAAGGACTTGAACTAAGTATTACAGAAAAAACCCTAGAAGACCATAATACTAAGAAAGAACTAAACCTCTATAGAGACAAAAACCAATAGATGAAACTTTGCAACATAATTGAGTTATCTCCCTAAAGAAAATTAGGTGTGTTTGTATACAAATAAAGTCAACTCATATTTAAAATCTAACCTAATCTCACTATCTTTAATATTATCAATTAAATAATATCAATCAATCATTCATACACATCACATCAACTTTAATTATAATTCAACCACTCTCGTAATTTTAACTAATCATCACTTCGAAACATATTTTTTATTTAATTAATTTATTTTAAATATTATTTTAAAATAAATTCAAAATACTACTAACTATATCATATTTTTTAAATTAATTATAATTAATAAACAAAACTCATTTTAAATCACGCCCTCAATGTATAACCAGAAACCACCAAGAAAATGGAAAAGAAGTCAGAAATTGGCATTTCCCATTATCTGAAACCTACCTATATTTACAGACAGACTACACACACACCCAACAGTGTGTACTTATTTCACCAAGATAGTTGGATACAGTACAGACCTTTTTTATTTTTTCCCTTCGTTTTCTCCACTGTTTATTTAATCAATCCTTTATCCCAAGGTCCCCCTTTCCTCAGCTGAAAACAACTTTCCCTTTTCCCCAAAACGACTTTTCTTTTCATTTCTTTTCTAATTTCCACTCTTCTCCATACTCCATCCTCACTCTCTCTCTCTCTCTCTCTCTCTCTCTCGTCTGTGTGTGAGAAAGTTCAATTTATNGCTGCACAAAGGTAAGTTGTTTTTCTAACTCATATTTGTTTTTTTCATTGAGATGATAGTTTTTCTTGCATTCTTAGTCGTAGTCTTGTCCTGTTCTTTCAATCTGGTCGTGGTTAGTTCTTTGAATGAAGAGGGCTTAGCTCTGCTTGCCCTCAAGAGCTCCATTAAAGTGGACCCTGAAGGTTCACTCAATAACTGGAACTATTCAGACGAAAATCCATGTTCTTGGAATGGCGTCACATGTAAGGCACAAAAAGTTGTTTCTATTAGCATACCTAAAAAGAAACTATCTGGGTCTCTGTCAAACGGTCTTGGATCTTTACCTGAGCTAAGGCATGTAAATTTGCGGAGCAATAAGCTTTCTGGAAACTTGCCCCCTGAGCTTTTCAAGGCCCAAGGGCTTCAAAGTTTGGTTCTTTATGAGAATTCATTTACTGGGCCTTTGCCATCTGAGGTTGGCAACCTCGAGTACCTTCAAACCCTAGATTTATCTAGGAATTTCTTTGACGGGCCCTTTCCCCCTTCATTACTTCAGTGCAAAAGGTTGAGGAATCTCTATTTCAGTCATAACAATTTTACTGGTCCTCTGCCTAGTGGGCTGGGGAAAAACTTGACTCTGTTAGAAAAACTTGATCTTTCATACAATGGTTTTACTGGTGTCATTCCTGATGATTTGGGCTATCTGTCTAATCTACAAGGAACTCTTGACTTGTCCCATAACGCATTTAACGGCTCGATTCCAGCCAGTCTTGGCAACCTCCCGGAAAAAGTGTACATCGACCTTACTTACAATAACTTGAGTGGCCCCATTCCTCAAAATGGTGCCTTAGTAAATCGAGGGCCCACGGCCTTCATCGGGAACGCTGGTCTATGTGGGCCCCCTCTTAAAAAGCTCTGCTCGTCCAACCATGAGGCCAATCCCCCTTCTTCATTCCCTTACTTACCGAGCAATTATCCTACGGGCCACGGCACAGGGGCTAACGGTGGGCGTGGGCTGAGTAAAGCAGCTCTAATAGCCATTATTGTTGGGGACGTGATTGGGATTTTTGTAATCGGGTTGCTTTTCTCGTATTGTTACTCGAGTTTTTGTAGAAAAAATGAGGGAGAAAATGAGTACAGGCTCGAGAAGGGTGGAAATAATAAAGGTAGAAAGGATTGTTTGTGTTTTAGGAAGGAGGAGTCGGAGAATTTATCTGAACACGTGGAGCAAACTGATTTGGTGGTTTTAGATGGGCAGGTTAGGTTCGACTTAGACGAGCTTCTCAAGGCTTCGGCTTTTGTGCTCGGGAAGAGCGAAATCGGGATTGTGTATAGAGTCGTGCTTGAAGATGGGGTGACATTAGCTGTTAGGAGGCTTGGGGAAGGTGGTTCGCAGAGGTTTAAGGAATTCCGGACGGAGGTCGAGGCCATTGGGAAGCTTAGGCATCCGAATGTCGTGACTTTGAGAGCATATTATTGGTCGGTCGATGAAAAGCTTCTCATTTATGATTTTGCGCCCAATGGTAATCTTGGAACTGCTATTCATGGTGAGTTTCATTCATAATTAACCTGCAAAGTATGTGAGTGAGTTTCTTTGGTTGGTTGGCTGTTTTGATCCTTTTAAATCTTTGCTGTGTGAAATTAATCAAATTAGCAACTTCAGATGTATAAATTCTCTGGGCAAGATTTGGAATTTTTTGTGCTTTAACTTTTAGTGCATTCTTGGCCTATTGTAAATATAGAATAACCAAAGAATTATTCACAATTGCATTTGAGTTGAAACTCACTAGTTTTCAAAATTGGAGGAAAAAAAGTCAAAACTTATGGCATCAAAGTTTCCTTTCTTACGTATAGTTACACAATTGCTAGCCACCAAAATTGCAATTTTGTAAGATTACTATTCTCACTTACTAGTGACTTGATTTTTCTATTTTATATATATTACATATATATATGTATTGATTCCTAATGTCAGGAAAACCGGGATCGGCAGAATTCACTCCACTCTCATGGCAAGTCCGGTTAAAAATAATGAAAGGAGTTGCCAAAGGCCTTCTCTACCTCCACGAGTACAGCCCGAAAAAATACGTCCATGGGGACCTTAAGCCGTCCAACATTCTCCTCGGCCAAACCATGGAACCCAAAATCTCCGACTTTGGGCTTGGTCGCTTGGCCAACATAACCGGTGGGCCTCACTCCACCCATTCCAGTAGGACAGTCCCTGACAGGCCCCAGGAAGCCTCTCCATTTGGGCTGGGCCCAAATCTGGGCCCATGCTACCAGGCGCCTGAGGCCCTGAAAGCAGTGAAGCCCTCCCAGAAGTGGGATGTCTACTCATATGGGGTTATCCTGCTCGAGATGATCACGGGCCGTCACTCGGAGGTTGATCTCGTCCGTTGGATGCAAATGTGCATTGAAGAAAAAAAGCCCGTTTGCGAAGTGTTGGACCCAAACTTGGCCCAAGATGCTGACAAGGAAGAGGAGATGATTGCGGTTTTGAAAATTGCGATGGCGTGCACGAATGCTGGGCCGGAAAAACGGCCCTCGATGAGGAATGTGGTTGATGCTTTGGAGAGATTGAATGTTTCAGATTGAGTTTTCATTGTGTTGATGAAATTTTTCCATCACGTTTAGATTTGGAGGATTGATTGATTTTGTTTTCTCATGGTTTGTGTATATGAATAAGAATGCTGGTTAATTTTTTCCTTTTTAGTTTGTTTGCTGTGTTGGTCAGCTGGTTAGCCTGGTTTCATGGCTGTTGGTTTTGTTCCTTTATTGTCCCTTTTTTCCAGTAGTTTTTGTTAACGTTTTGACTTGTGAACATTTGTTAGATGCGGCAGCCATTAGATTAGTTTAATTTATCTTTTTAATCTGTTTGGCACGTGAAGTAGTGGGGATTCTGTAACTTGGATGTTATAATTATGGTCTAATAGTCCAATTAAATAAATTAAAGAAGACTACTAGGAAAACAACTCTTAATTTTTATTTTTTTTGACTTCAGAATACTTGGCAATAATTTTTTTTAACGTGCATACGTACTCCAGGCAACGGGTCAACTAATTACACTGAATATATTTTATTCAGTACCCCCGTCTGCTTGAATTGAATTGACAGCGCAATATTTTGCTTATAAAATAATATGTCAAAAAATAATATATATATATGTTAAAAAAGTTATTTTTATTTCCAAAATACTGTAGTCCCTATATACAAATTTTATGATTAAATATATATATATATATATATATATNAATTTTATGTAATATATATCTATTGTAATATCTTGTAATACTTATGATTATATATATATGCATACAAATTTTTTGATAAACTAATTATACTGAATGTATTTTATGTAATATTTTGTGTTTAACTATTGTACTTTATAATGCTATATTCATATTATTTTAAAATTTACAAAATTTTACCACTTAGAGTATTCGATAGATAATTATTTATCTAACTTATGCAAATTTTATGTTATGAGTATTACAATTTTTCTTCTTACTTTGCAAATTTTATCTAATTTATGCAAATTTTAATGCTTGTATTAGATTAGATGCTTTACACCTATTTTTGTAGCATTTTCTATTTTTATATTTACTAGTAGTGGATTATCCAGGGCTCGCTTGTTTACAAAATAATTCGTTCAAAATGAGTTATTTTGGTTAACTAGAGTTAATTTTGAAAAAAGTGGTATATTTTAGTTATTAGTGAGATTTTAAAAATATATTAAAATAATATTTAAAATAAAATGATTAAAATTGATTTGATGTAAAAGTATGAGATAAATGATTGAAAATGATTAAGAATGATAGGTAGTTAAAATTATGTAAGTGGATAAATAGTGAATTAAAGTTAATGTAATGTGTAAGAATTATTAAATTATATTTATTTATTATATAAATAATATTAAAAATAATGAGGTTGAATTAAAATTAAATTAAATTTTGAGTATGAATTAAAAGTAAATAAAATAATTGATAAAGAAGCATACCCTTATACTACAGCAGGTTGGACTTTTACAGCTCACCATTCATCAAACGAGCAAAAGCAGTTAGCCCGCCGACAGCTAAAATATGTAGCGCCACATTTTTTGTGGTGAATCATCAATCACCTATTTTTTTTTTTTAAACAATTGTGGTGAATCACTTGACATGTCGCGATTGATTATAAACGCCAAATAGAGGTGGGCCCATCCATCGATTTCTCACCGTGTGCGTGCGTGTGAACAGAATTGGTCTATGTCACACATCCAATCCAACATTCACATTCACTCATACTCACCAATCACCACTACCAAACAATTTGGATAGGCTAGTTATTTTAGTTAACATATTTGTAAGTTGTCCAATGTAGATTGTACATGTTAAATGAGCATAGTTTATAAGTTTAGTGGGTTAATCTTTCCATCACTAAATAGTTTTGGAATGAAACTTCACAAAAATGCAACTAGACCAACTCTCTTATGATGCGCTTCACTTGTGTGGGACCGCACTCTCTTTCCCAGATTCTAATATGGTATCAAAGCGAGAGTGTCCTATGAAATTTGGTATCAGAGCTTACTTTATCCGAACCACGCTGTCGGCTTGGGCTTACAAAAAACTCACAAGTGAGGGGCGTGTTGGAATATCACTTGTGACAGAGGCGGATATAGCAAAAATAATGTGGGTAGGGGGGCTAATTATTTAATGAAAAAATATAAAATATTATAACAAAGAGTGCAAATAAAAAGTACATACCTTCATAGTCGTTTTTTACGAGTTTTCATGGTCTGATATCACTCGATAATAACATCATTACTAATTTTCATGAATGTTTCATTTTCTACATAAACGAGTAGTCTATCATTTAATTAATCGTCACTCATTCAATTGCTCAACCTATCCTTAATAATATTCAATGCGGAAAATACTCGTTCCAC